TTGCACCCGATTTCGCCGAAATCGGCCGGTGTTGCGGCGCCACTTGGGCCTTCGTGCGTCCCGCGCGGGAACCCCGCGAAGCTTTGTGGACCTTGGGGCGTCCTAGGGCTTCTGGGGGCCTCCCGGAGCCTCCTGGGGCCTCCTGGGACTTGGGGCCTCCTGGGGCATCTGGGGCCTGAGGTTTCCTGGGGGTCTCCTGGAGCCTCCTGGGTCGTTCTGGGGCCTCCTGGTGGTTTTCTGGGGGCCTCCCGCGGCTTGCTGGGGCCTCGTGGGGGGGGGAGTCTGGGCGCCATAACGCCGCTCGATTCTGGAAGAACGGGTCCCCGACTTTGCCCCAAATGGTCGGTGTTATGACGCCACCGCGACGCTTTGTGGACCTTGCGGCCCTCCTGGGGCATCCTGGAGCCTCCTGAGGCGTTCCAGAGCCTCTTGGTGGCTTTCAGGAGGCCTCCTGGGGTTTGCTGGGGCCTCTTGGGAGAGTGTTTCGGCGCCATAACACCATCCGATTTCGCAAGAACGGGTTTCCGATTTTGCCAAAGTCGGCCAGTGGTGTGGCGCCTCTTGGGCTCGGTGCCCGCGACGGGACGCTTTGTGGACCTTAGGGGGTTCTTGGGGGGCTTCCTGGGGCCTCCTGGAGCGTTCTGGGAGCTCCTTGTAGCTTCCAAGGGGCCTCCTGGGGCTTGCTGGGCCCCCCTGAGGGGGAGGGGGTCGGCGCCATAGCATCGTTCGATTTTAGAAGAAAAGGTTTCCGATGTTGTCAAAATCGCGATGTATAGCGCCCAGTGGGCTTTCGGTGTGCGCGACGCTTTGTGGACCCAGCGGCCCTCCTGGGGCTTCTAGGGGGGCTTCCCAGAGCCTCCTGCGGCGTGTTGGTGCTGCCTGGTAGCTTAGGGGCTTCCTGGAACTTGCTGGGGCCTCCTGGGTGGGGAGGTTTCGGCGCCATAACACCGCTCGATTTTGGCAGAACAGGTGCCCGATTTTGCTCAAATCGGTCGGTGTTCTGGCGCCCCTTGGGCTTTCGGTGTCCGCCACGCTGTGTGGACCCTGCGGCCCTCCTGTGGCTTTCTGGGAGGCCTCCTGGAGCCTCCTGGGGCGATCTGAGGTCTCCTGGTGGCTTCCTGGGGGCCTCCTGGGGCTTGCTTGGGCCTCGTGAGGGGGGGGTCTGGGCGCCATAACACCATTTGAGTTCGCCCCGAGTTTGGCCAAAATGGTAGGTGTTACAGCGCTCCTTGAGCTTTCGGTGCGCGCGACGCTTTGTGGACCCTGCGGCCCTCCTGGGGCTTCCTGGCGGGTTCCTGGAGCCTCCTGGGGCGTTCTGGTGCCTCCTGGTGGCTTCCTGGGGGCCTCCGGCCTCCTAGAGCTTGGTGGAGCCTCCTGGGAGGGCGTCACGGCGCCATAACACCGCTCGATTTTGGCAGAACGGGTGCCAGATTTTGCCCGAATCGGCAGGTGTTACGGCGCCCCTTTGGCTGTCGGTGCCTGCGACGCTTTGTGGACCCTGCGGCCCTCCTTGGGCCTCCTGGGAAACTCCTGCAGCGTTTTTGGGGCCTCTTGAGGGGGCCTCCTGAGGCTTGCTGGGACCTCCTGAGGGGGAGTCTCGGCGCCATAATACCGTTTGGAAGAACTGGTCCCATATTTTGCCAAAACTGGTCGGTGTTGTGGCGCCTCTTGGGCTTTCGGTGGCCGCGACGCTTTGTGGACCCCGCGGACCGTATGGGGCTGCCTGGGGGCTTCCTGGAGCGTCCTGGTGCGTTCTGGTGTTCCTTGGTGGCTTCCTGGAAGTCCCGGCGCCACAACACCGCTCGATTTTGGCAGAACGGGTCTCCGCTTTTGCCCGCATCGGCTGGCGTCACGGCGTTCCCTGGGCTGTCGGTGTCCGCGACGCTTTGTGGACGGTGCAGCCCCTTTGGAGCTTCCTGGGGGCTTCCTGGAGCCTCCTGGGGCGTTCTGGTGCCTCCTGGTGGCTTCCTGGGGGCCTCCTGGAGCTTGCTGGGGCTTTCTGGATGAGGGTTGGCGCCAGAACACCGCTTGATTTTGGAAGAACGGGTGCCCGATTTTGCCCAAATCGGCCGGTGTTATGGCGCCCCTTGAGCTTTCGGTGCCCGGGACGCTCTGTGGACCCTGAGGTCTTCCCGGGGCTTCCTGGGGGCCTCCTGGATTCCTTGGGGAGTTCTTGTGTCTCCTGGTGGCTTCCTAGGGGGCCTTGGGGCTTGCTGCTGGGGGCCTCCCGGGAGGAGGTTCCGGCGCCATAACACCGCTCGATTTTGGCAGAACGGGTCCCCGATGTTGCCCAAATCGGTCGGTGTTATGGCGCCTTTTGCGCTTGCAATGCCCGCGACGCTTTGTGGACCCTGCGGCCCTCCTGGGGCTTCCTGGGAGGCTCTTGGAGCGTCCTGATGCCTCCTGGTGGTTTCCTGGGGGGCCGCCGGGGGCTTGCTTGGGCCTTGTGTGGGGGGGGTCTGGGCGCCACAACACCGCTTGATTTTGGAAGAACGGGTGCCCGATTTTGCCCACATCGGTCGGTGTTCTGGCGCCCCTTGGGCTTTCGGAGCCCTCGACGCTTCGTGGACCTTGCGGTCCAACCTGGGGAGCATCCTGGGGCGTCTTGCTGCCTCCTGGTGGTTTCCTGGGGGCCTCCTGGAGCTTGCAGGGGCCTCCTGGGAGGGCGTCTCGGCGTCGCAGCACTGCTCGATTTTGGAAGAATGGGCTTTTGATTATGCCCAAACCGGTCGGTGGTGTGGCGCCCCTTGGGCCGTCGGTGCACGCGGCGTTTTGTGGACCGTGCGGCCCTCCTAGGTCTTCCTGAAGCCTTCTGGGGGCTTCCTGGAGGGGGCGACGCTTGCGACAAGCTGCGATAACCACAGGCTAGCCGCAAGCAGAGGCGGCGCGGTAAGCGGCAAGCAAATTGGTTTTCTGCCTGCGGCAAGCGGCAAGCGGCAAGAAACATCGAGCCTTGCGGCAAGCGGTAGAGGCCCCCCCCCAAACGGTAACTATACAGATCCCTGTGTGGCCAAGACGGCCAAGAAGCTTCGGCAGGCCCCGTGTCGGCCTGCAGTTGACCACCGCCTTTGGTGCGTCGGGCCCTTCACCCTTTGCGGTTCCTGCGGAGCCAACTCTTGCGACAACACCAAGCTCCTTACGGCTGACTGCCGAGGACGTTGCCCCCGAGGCTCGACAGCGCGTGGACGCTTCGACCCCCTCTAGGGCGGACACCACCCACGAACTGGGGTGAAGTTTCCTCTCGGCTCGGGGCTCATAGCCCCGGCTCCGTTTGTAGCCTTTGCCCTGGACGTGAAACTTGTACGAATTGGAAATTCTCCCTGACTGGTGAGGTGGTCGCAGGCCGAGTCGCCCATTCTGGGCGTAGAGGCGCCTGCCCGTTAGGTGCACGCCGCTCGGCGGCGGTGCCCGCGGTTATCGATGTCGCTCTTTGGTGCCCGTCGCCGCACTCGTGCATCTTCGAGGCCACACCCTGCAAAAAGGCTTGTTCGGGGCCTCTTTGGCCGTGGCTCTTGGGCCTTGGTGTGGCCTCTTGGGGGTTCCCGGTGGCCTCCTGGGAGCGTCTTGGGCCCTCTTGGCGCCCTTGGGAGCCTCTTGGGGGCCTCTGGGGGTCTCCTGGGGGCGTCTGGGACCCGAAGGCTCGATATCTCAGTTTCCCCCCCCCCCCCCCCCCCTCCCCCCCGGGGCCCTCTCTTGGGCTGTCATGGGGCCATCTTGTGCCGTCTTGGGGGTCTTTTGGGCCGTCTTGGATCCTTCTTGGGCTGCCTTGGAGTCTTGTGCGGCGGTCTTGGAGTTCTCTTCGGAGCCTCTTGGGCCGTCTCGGGGCGATCTTGGAAGCTTCTTGGGCCGTCTTGGACGCTGTGAAAGCCAAACGTGCGAATATGCTGAAAATGTATGTGTCCTAAAGAGAATGGGACGATGTTTGCCTCTGGGGGCCCTCTTGGAAGGCCCCTTAAGAGGCCTCGTGGGGTTTCTCGAAGGCTCTTGGAGCCGTCTGGAGACTATCTTGAGCGTCTTGGCGCGATCTTTCGGCGACTTAGGGCCCTCTTGGAGCATCTTGGGGGCCTCGTTGGGCCCTCTTGGCCAGTTCTGGGGCCTTCTTGGCCTGTGGTGGCCATGGGGACGAGAGGGCTGGGGGGAGCGGGCGAGCACTGGGAACAGGGGATGATCCATGAAAGTTCACTCCCCCGACTCCTGTATTTGGGTATAGATTCTGCCTGGAAGGCCGAAAACGCAGGGCATCGTGGGCTCGATGTGTCGGCGGGTCCTACTTGTTGTTTCGTAAGAAGCGAAGGGTCCCGCCACACACCCACAGCTGCAAGCGCGGTGGCGGATCTCTTCTTTTATGATTAGTCAGGCTGATTTGTGTAACACGTGCACGGATGGAGGGCGGCCTGTTTTATGCGGCTTTCGCGTGAGATGTCGCACGTTTGATTGCCGGATCTGTTTTGAGACTGTGCAGCGCTGGTGCGTGTGGACGACAGTTGTTTCAAAATGGGGCTATGGGTGGACTTCGTCTATGAATTCTGCATTCTACTATCCTGCCTCTTTACTTTTTTGTTCAGCTACACGGACGGAGGGTGAATCTTCTACAACATTGGGTATCGCTTGAGTGGCAGTCCCTGAATGCGCCCGTCATTCAAAGGGGGCGCTTCCCCCAATGGACAGGAATCCACGTAGGGACTTCTGAGGTGGAGACTTGGGTGGCGGGGGGGTGTACTGCAGCATCGTTGACGCCTCCTGGGCTTCTTCAGGTCCTCCTCCTTCTCCTCCCACGCCAACCGCGCTGCAGCGTATTTGTCTCGGTGGCGACGGAGGCTTCAGTCATGCTGCCGATCGTGTGTCGGCTGATGCTGTGTGCTCAGCCGTTGGCACCTGTCCGTTGGGGCTGCCGAGCTCTGCGATGAGGGGGAAGGGAAGGAGGCCGCGTGGCCTTGGCCTCAGGGGAGCACGTGCCATGCCGTGCCTCCCAGGTCAACCCTCTGAAGAAGGCGAAGTCGATGTCGATCCTGGCGCCGAAGCTGGGCGGCCTGGCGCCCGGCTTCGGCGCGACGCTGAAGGGGCCGAAGGCCGCCGTGCTGGGCGGCCTGGGCCTGCCCATCAAGCCGCCAAGCAAGGCGCCCCCGCGAGAGGAGACGATCCCGAAGGTGTTCCAGGCCCGAGGCTGGGATTCATATATGCCCAGACCCCCCACGTTGCTGCAGAATCGCGACGGAAGGTTTTGGCCGATCTTCTGCTTCTCGGGGCCCCCACTGGGCTCCAGGACCGCCAGAAAACGATCCAGGATGAGAAGCAGGTCCCCGGGACGGGGTCTAAACCTCCGGCAGTCCACGTTATGAAGTAATCACGACTTGGAGGGTCCGCCGAAAGGCATTCCAGAAAGCGCATCGCCTTGGGCGCGGCTCCCCTTTGGCGGAGGCCGGGGGGAGGGGAGCCGGCCGAGGCCGGTGGGAGCAGCACATGGGCGGGCCCGGCAGAGGAGGTCTTGCGGAGGGCCTGTGGAGGCAAGAGTGTGGCTTCAGCATTCTGGGAGCCAGTGCTCCTGGAGTTTTTGGAGCCAAGCCTCCAAGACCTCCGGAGGCGGTGAGCAATGATGCACATTTGTGTGCGCATGTTTATTTCCACACGTTTGGGCCCAACATCTGGGTATACACATGTTTTATCTATGTATTTATACGTATATATCGTGATGTGCACATCACATGCAGTGGTGAGTGCTTGTGTGAGTCTGATGTATGTGCTTATGTATGCAAGTATGCATGTATGTATGTACGTACGTGTGTATGTATGTGTGTATGTGTGTATCCAAGCATGTCCATATGTCACGTGTGTATGAATGTGTGTCTGTATGGATGCATGTACTTGTATGTTTGTATGTATGCATGCATGTATGTATGTATGTATGTATGTATGTATGTATGTATGTATGTGTGTATGTTTGAATGTATAGATAGCTAGGTAGGTAGGTGTATGTATGCATTTGTATGTATACATATATTTATGCATGTACGCTCGTGTATATATATGTATTGACAAGTGTGTACGTATGTGCAGGTATGTGTGCATGTATGTTTGTGTGTATCGATGCATGCATATAAGCAAGTCTGCATACATGTATGCAGACATACATATAGGTGTGTGTATGCCTGTATGTGTGTATGCATGTATGTAGGTAGGTAGGTCGGTAGGTATGTCTGTATGTTTGTATGTATGCATGAGGTGACGTAGGTTTGTGTGTATGCATGTATGTATGTATGCACAGATGAATGGATGTGTGTATGTATGTATATGTGCATGTTTGGATGAATGTCTGTATGCATGTATTTCTGTATGTGTGTGTGTGTTTATGTATGTCTGTACGTGTGTGCATGCACATGATGATTGACGATGTATATGTATGTATATTGTATGTGTAAGACCGTCCTCCCTGCGGCGCGAAGACTTCCTTCGGGCTCCTGGGAGAGTGGTGTCCGAAGCGGCGGATGTGCATACATTGTTGCCTCGGTCAAGGAGCTCGACCAGGACAAGGACAAGTTCCTGAGCGAGAAGGAGCTTTGAGGAGGAGGGTGGGGAGGAGGGCTTCCGCCATCTTCCGCGTCGTCGACGCCCTCTCTCTCTTCTCCCTCTTCGTCCTTCTCTCCCGATTCCTCCTGGCAATTCGTGATTCGTCCGCCATTCCTGTTCTGTCCTCTCATTCCTCAGCTGCCTTGTCCCCGCTATGCCAAGTGGGCTATGTTTTCTCAATTTTCCTTCTATTTTTCTCCACGAGGTATTTCTTCTGCGCTCATTCGCCACCGATCCCGTCCAAGGACATGCCTGTTGGCTGCCTCGCCAATCTATCGACGATGCATGGCCGATTCCAGGCGGATGCTTCTTCCCCTCTGAGCCAGTCCCCTCATTCGTGTGGCTTTCTTCCCAGAAGTATAGCGATTCTGCTCTCTCGCCTCCCCCTTTGAGGCGAGCAGAAATCAGCGGTTCAGGCATGGGGCCCTGAGGGATGGTGCCCATGAGGATAGGGAGAGTTCCCAGGTTGAATGTGCATTGCTTCCGGCTCCTGGTCCTTGGGGCCTTGAACCTCAGGACCCCATCTAGGAACAGCCGAAGAAGGGGGGACGGCACAGGGGCGGGCTCGAGGAGATGCAGACGTTCGCCCACATGATCTCCGTGGTCTTCAAGGACACCATGAAGAGCTGGAAGCGGGACTACCCGGACGTCTGTTCCGACGGCGGGGCGGACCCGGCCAGCGGCATCGGCGAGGAGCTCTTCACCAAGATCGTGACGGACCATTCCAGCAACGGCATTTTTCTGAGCGACGCCGAGCTCCAGCTGTTCCTCGATTCGATGATCTGCCGACAGGAGCTAATCAAGGCCGTCTTCGACGCGTGCGACAAGGCTGGATGCTCTTGTCCTGAGCCGCTTGAAGCGGCCAAGTTCTTTTGCTGTAGCGTCTCACGTTGCCTATTACTGGTTGAAAACTTCTTGCCGATGCATTTCAGATTGAAATGCTGGGGTCGGCGTGTCGGGGAACGCGCCGAGCCCAGCTAAATATTCGGGCCCAGAGAGACCCAAGACTCTTGCGCCCTCCAGCCTCGCCTCTGCACGCGCACATCATCACCACAACCTTAACCACATGCAAGATGCACAGCAACAGACTCTCCTCGGCGTGTCCGTCGACGCGTTGGCATCACGCCCTCCATACATGACACCCTCGCGAGAGACGGTCCTCAGCATCATACTATCATACTGAACGTGTACAGAGAGCTGTACTGCACAGACGGGCACCATACGGGAATGCATGCGGGAGACGACACGACAGAGCAGACCACACGGGGGATCGTACGTGATGGCGTACGAGAGGCCACATGGGAGGCCATGCGAGAGACCATGCGGCAGACCAAGCGACAGACCATGCGAGAGATCATGCAGGATACCATGCGGGAACCGCACGGGTACGGGAAACCACATGAGAGCCCATGCGGGTGACCACAAGGGATGAGATCTGTAGACCGTACAGTAGACCATACTGGAGGCCACGTGCGAGGAGACCATACGGGAGACCATCCTGGAGACCAGTGGGTAACGATTCCGGGGTTGGCAGCTCGACCCCCGAAAATCACGATGGGAGACCATGCGGGAGACCTTCAAGTCATGGGATCGGGGGCTTGCCACGGACCCCCTAGCCCTTCTTACGAAACCCACGCACGTACAAAGAGGACGTTTAGAATACATCCCCAAACCGCATCTGCGCCACTCGCAGAGCTGAAGCAACCGCCACACAACACAATACAGAGTTGTTGCGCAACCAACTGCAACTCAATGCTACTGTGGGTCTCTGATGGCTGTGGACTGCGCGTTTCGCACACTGCCGTCCTGGAACCTTTGCAAAACCAATCCCATATTACACACATATAGCCAAGCTGAATATGCTACGCCAGATTTCGTTCAAAACAGCTAAGGTTCAGCGAAAGGTCTTGTTTTTCTGTCGAAGATTGGCGTCCTGCCGTAGGCTACACGACCCAGGGGATCCAGTCCGCCCACCCCGCCCTTGCCCCACCCGCCCGTCTTCCCCACCCCAAGTTTCTATCTGTGGGCAGTGGACAACGAGTTTCTCGTCTGTGCGCGTGGGAGGAGAAGGGCGCAGGAGGGCCGAGAGGAGGATACTGAGGCGGACGAGGGACGGGCTGCGGACGAGGGGGAAGAGGAGGGCCGGAGGAGTGGTGAGAGAAGGTCGACAAGGACGGGAGGGGGGAGCTGGAAGAAGAAGGTGAGGATCATGGAGACGAGGGGGACGGGGAGGACCAGGACTGGGACGGTGGCCTGCCGAGAAGGCAGGTCCAAGGAGGGACGGGGAGGAAGAAGCAGGAGGAGAGGAGGGAAGCGACGGGGGGAGGGCAGTGGGCGAGGAGGCGAGGTGCCCAAGGGAATATCCGAGGAGGGGGATGGGGAACGGGAGGAGGGAGTTGGATTAAGAAGAAGAAGAAACACAAGAAGAAAAAACACAATAAGAAGAAGAACATGAGGAAGAGGGAGAGGGAGAGAGGCCGAGAAGGAGGATGGAAGCAGCGGGCGAGATGGGAGCCCCGATCCCCGAGAACGGCAGCGGTTGCCTCACCAGCGACAAGCTGCGGGCTTTTGCGGGACTGACCGGCTTCGAGGGCGACGAGGCGGAGTGGGACCAGGACCACACCACCAAATTGGGGCGGCGTTGTTGCTGCCCGCCCCGTGAGAAGCATCCATACACCACCACCACCGCGCCCGGCTAGGGCCGTCCTGGGCCCTAGAAGGTGGTGGTGGTGGTGATGGTGTACAGGTGCTTGTCGCGTGCACTCTTCTCCCACTATCGGCCCCCATCCCTTTCCTCCTTTGGCACCCCCAGGGTTTGTGGGCCCCTCCGCGGTGTTGGCGGGTGTGCTGACTACGACTGTCGTTCCCCAGGCTGCCAGAGGTCGCCGTTGGCGTTATCACTCCTCACTGGTACCCGTCGGTCGTTGAAAGCAGGAATTTCTGGATTCCCAGATCCCAATCTATTTTCGGCGCCTGCGTACGTCAATGATCGAGGGGCTTCCCCTCTTCCCTCCACTTCCGGGGGCGGGCGGAAGTCCAATCTACTTCCGGCGCCTTCCGACTCCATGTTTCTGCCTACTCCTTCCGACCGGCGGGTACATGCCCCATGGTGCGTGCGCTCGTCTCCCCCCCCCCTCTTCCCCAGACTTCCAGCGCCACGAGGGAGAGCATCGACGGCCCTTCTTTTCCCAGAGGGCCTGGACCTGCGCAGGCATCTTCAGTGGCAAATCATGAGAGCCTGGCCATAAGGGCGCCCCTTGAGGGCGTCCTTGATACTCGCGCTTCGCGCTTCGGCTCCGATTCCTCCTCATCCTCCTCTCCTCCCCTAGGCGGCGGCGCGAGAGCGCGAAGCTATTCGCGCTTCGCACATCGCGAACCGCGAAGTTAGGCGTCCTTGCGCATGTCCTCGCAATTCTGCTTTAGAAAGTGGGCTAGCGCGCGCTAGCGTTTGGTTAGCGTCGATTCGTGCCGATTTAGCTTCAGCTTGCGTCGATCAGCGTCGAGTCGTATCGATTAGCGTCGGCTTGCGTCGACTCGCAAGAGCCCGCAAGATGGCTTGGGAGGCTCCCATGAGTTGCCACTGAAGGGATACTCTCCAGATACCGTGGCCATCGAACCCACAAGCGCCCTCCCGTAAAGCGAAACAGCAATCCCCTGGGGAAGGGGGTCGAGTCGAGCCTCCAGAGAGGGGCCCACGCCACCAAAGATTTGTTCCAAGCGCTGGACGCCGGAGCCCCCCTCTTCCACTCTCTCGCCGCATCCCCTTCCTCGCTCGTCCTCCCTCGCCGAGGATGGGGAAGGAACATGGAGCATGGAGGGACGTGAGGGCAGGACGAGGAGGAGGATGGGGACGAGGCTGGGCTCTCCTCCTCCGCCTTCTCCTTCGCGCCTCCCCCTCCCGCTCTACCCCCCCTTTCTCTCATCGTCCTCCTTTCTTGTCCTGCCCCCCCTCTTATCCTCCCCCCCTGACATCCTGGGTCTGGGGGGTAGCCCAGGAGTACACCAAGCTCTGCAAGGAGCAGGCGGTGGACCTGTTCGCCGGCGTGGACCTCGAGGCGTTCTCGAAGATCGTCAACGACCAGTCTGACGAGGGCGGCTGCTATTGCACCGACGAGGAGCTGGAGACCATGCTCAAGAGCATGGAGAAGCCCCTGCCCGAAACGGCCGCGAAGATCATGACCATGCGGGCGCTCCCGAAGAAGGGCGTCATCATCGCGCCCCCGAAGAAGGGGAGCATCATCATGCCGCCGAAGGGGTTCGCAGGGAAGATGCCCACGCAGATCATGCCGCAGACGGTGAAGGCCAAGCCGAGGGGGCCGCCCCCCCTGGACCCGGGCGCCAGGAAGGAGCTCTGCAAGCAGGTGTTCGCGGCGCTGGACAAGGACAAGGACGAGGTGCTCAATGCCAGAGAGATGATGAACTTCGCTGTCTTCACCGGCTTCGACGGGACCGAGGAGGTGTGGAACGCCGCGTACAAGAGCCTGATCGAGGGCCATAAGGGTGACGTTAAGAAGGGGATCGACGTAGAACTATTCTGCGTCCTCATGGACGACAAGAACGAGGAGACCGGGTGCTTCTGTGCGGACGGCGAGCTCAAGTCTGTACTGAACAAGATCTTAGCAGCTGCGGTTAGGGACGATTTGGTAATGAAGATCTTCAACGGCCTTGACTCTGACAGCGACGGGAAGCTGAACAGGCAGGAGATGCGAAAGTTCGCTGAGTTTGGAGGTTTCGAGGGCTCAGAGGCGGTATGGGCCGAAGAGTTCGACGGCATAGTGCAGGACGCGGCAAACAAGGGGCCGAAGGATGGCGTGGACCTCGCTTTCTTCAAGGTCATTGTGAACGGGGAGTCCTTCGGATCGTTCCCCGACGAGGAGCTGGGTAACATGCTCAAGAAGTGGGCCCCGATGCACGCTGCCAGGCCCGCTGGGCTGCTCGTGCCACGGGAGCAGCTCATCACGTCGCTGTACGACGCCCTTGATGCGGACCGGGACGGCAAGCTCAACAGCAGAGAAATGCAGCGGTTTGCTGAATTCGGTGGCTTCCAGGGTCCCGAGTCCCAGTGGCAGAACGAGTTCAAGGCTCTTGTCAAGGAGGCTGGGGTTACGGGGATGGAGCTCGTCGACAACATCCTCTTCAAGCAGCTCATCAACGACCAGTCCTACGAGACAGGGATGTTCACCACAGACGAAGAGATCGTGTCCATGCTTTCCAAGTTGGGACTGGAGTGCAAGGGGGAAAGCATCGACAAGGCCGACAGGACAGACCTGACAGCGAAACTGTTCAACGCAATCGACCAAGACAAGGACGGAAACCTGAATTCTTCGGAGATGCGGATGTTCGCAGAGACGACAGGATTTGTGGGGACTGCGGAGGAGTGGGCCGAGGCATTCCAAGGCCTATGTGCCGACGGGAAGAGGGACCCGAACGTCGGAGTTGATCCGGTGTATTTCTCGCAGATGGTCAATGACAAGAACGAGGAGGCCGGGACCTATTGCACCAACGACGAGCTCAAGGAGTCTCTTCAGAAGGTGGAGTCCGGCGAGGTGTCCAAGGATGTGGGTCTGTCGAATGATGTGCACAGTACTTGTCGCTCGAAGGTGTTCCAGATTGTCGATGCCACAGGCTGCGGGCGAAGTTGGGAGAGCACGTCTAGGCTGCACTGAAGAAGTCGCATCATACACCCCGATCGTTTGTCGTCTTTTATGGGGCGAGCTGAACGTTGGGGATCAGCTGTCGTTCGCTTCTGAGGTTTGCCATTTTGGACGCTATTGTGGCCATTTGTAGGCTGATAACATTGAGACGATCGAGCGGTGGAGGGACATACTGGGATCAATGAGAAAGGGACGTGTAGGTAATTGGCACGAATACTTCAAAATGAAACGAAGGTCTTCTGAGTGCTCCCGCATAGGCATATTCCTCGTTCTATTTGTTTACAAGCAGGGGGTGCGGGACAACAAAAGACCCACACCAAACCAACAAAGGCGGACCCCCAGGATCCGGGGCCCCGAGACAGCGCAAGTCGGCCTCCAGGGGCCCCCAAGACGGCCCAAGAGGCCCCCAAGACTCTTCAAGAGGCCTTCAAGAGAGCCCACAAGAGGCAAAGATCTTCCCGTTCCTTTCTGGGCAACGTGCATTTTCAGTGTATTCGCTTTGTATGTCGTAGCAGAGGTCACGACAGCCCACGATGCCTCCGAGATCGCCCCAAGATGGCCCAAGAGGCTCCCCAAAGGGTTTCAAGACAGCCCAAGAGGGCCCCAATATTGCACCAAGACGACCCAAGAGAAGCTCACGAGGCCCCCACGGGCTCCCAAGAGAGACCCACGAGGGCCATGGGAGGTCCCAAGGAAGGCCCAAGATGGCCCCACGAAGGCCCGCAGAGGGCCCACATTCCCCAAGAAGGCTCCAGCACGGCCCAAGAGGGACCCACAATGGCCCAAACGAGCTTCAACAGGACCCCCAAGACGGCCCAGAGAGGCGCCGAGGAGGCCTCCAGAGGTCGCCAAAGCCCTTGAGGGGAATTTCGTGAGGCACCCAAGAGGTTCTCCAACGAGGAGCCTCTGCAACAAAAACCTGCGGCAGACGGGGAATGGTTCGCAACGCCAGGCGAGAGCAAGGATGACTGAGAGGAACGATGTGGAACGATAAGGCGGGGCACGCGATTTTGGTTCAACGGTTTTTTTGTCGGAGCCTCCATGTGGCGTTCTCGTCGCCACGTCATCGGGCCCGCCTCGAAATTCGAATCAACACGCACCCCAAGAAGACTTCGGGTGGCACACGAACATGCAAATCGAGGGCGAGAGCAAATAAGAAACGGGTAAGGGAATTTGAAATGAAACGGCCAAAATTCAAAGACCAGGGAGGATGACGCCAAGTGCCAACATCTGCGAAGCTTGAAGGACCAAGGTGCGCGGCGCGAAGCGCCAACGCAGTGGAAACGGAACACATACACACAGATACGTATGGCGAACGGGAAACGTGTGAGGCAAATGTACAGACTGGACAAGTGGTACAGTTTGCCAGCGGTTGCGCAGATGAGTGAAGTGCAAACCTCAATAAAGGATTATGTGGTTGATTGGTCAAGGGTGCCCCTGCATCCATACCTGTGATGCTCATCTTCAGTTGCCGATTCTAAAACTATTGGTCTGATGCAGATCCCACTGCCCCTTGTCGTCGCGTGCGTACTGTTGGTTCTTATCGCGTGTGCTGGAAAGGTGTAGCAAAATTTGCACATAACCTTAACTGGAAATGCGCATTAAGTCTGGATCGTGCGACACCGGGTTTCGACGGACAGTATCGGGGGTTAGGGGGGAATATCGCAGTGAAGCGGAGTTGACCATCGGGTAATTCGGTTTCGGTGTCGCTTCGTGTTATGCGTGACGTGCGTGTTGGCGACGCGAAGCTACGTGAGGTTGATAATGTTTTGTTTCCGCGGTTGTCCTTGGTTGTCCCGTGGTTGTCCTGCGGTTGTTCCATGGTTGTCTTGAGGTTGCCATGTGGTTGCCCTGTAGTTGTCCTGTGATTGTCCCGTAGTTGTACCAAATTGGTCCGTTGCTGCACAGCGGGTGTCCCGTGGTTGTCTTGTACTTGTCCAGTGGTTGTCCCGCAGTCCGTTTGTAGTTGCCTCTCGGTTGTCCCTTGGTTGCCCTCTGGTTGTATGTGTCTGTCCTGTGGATGTCCAGTGGTTACCCTGTGGGGTCAATGAGAGACCGATCAAACATTGTAATGCCCGTCCCCCCCCCGCACCCAACGCCGCCCCCGCACCGGATCCCTGGCCCTGGGGGACCCATTTCAGAGCTTTCTCGGCCTTTCTGGACGCCCAGGCCTGCCAGGCTTTACCAAAGGACCCAAAGCGGTCAGGCGGGCGGCCAAACGGCCCCGCGAGTGCTCCAAGCGGGCACAGTCACTCCAGAGACGCCCGAGGACGATCCACAGGAGCCCCCCCAAGAGGCCCTCCAAACGCAACGAAGAACAGATTCTCTGGTGCGGGATGTGTTCTTCGCCTTTCCACGGCTGGCTGTCCGTGCAGGGGCTTGCCTGGTGCGCAGTAGGCCCAGGGCTTGGCTCGCGGGCCAGCTCTCTCGTTGCTGTTGTCGCGGTGCTGGCGATTGCTCCGCGCGGGCGTGCCCAGGACGGGCCGCGAAGCGAAACGGCAATTCTACGATGAGGCAGGCGGGGGGAGGGCGGGGACTGCCGCGGATGAGGGGGCTGCGGGCGGGCGAGGCGTTCAGGACAGGGCCAGCTATCTCGCGCAATTGGCGGGACTATTGTCGGAAGTCCCCAGTGGAACGCCAACGATGCTTGGCACGTCTGCTTTCCGATCCCCACCAAGATCTGTCCCTCCTTTGCTTCAGCCGCGGGTTATTCTGCCCATCCAGTTGCGCTGCCGACGGCACCCGCCACCGCGCTTTTGGGCGGCCGCCTGGGATGAGGGGGGTGGGCAGGGAGCTTGGGCGTCGCGCAATGTGGGGGGGGACAGCGAGGGCTGCAAAAAGGAGCCTCAGGGCCCTTAAGGACCCCAGAAGGTGCCTTCAAGGGCCGAGAAGTGCAGCTCTCTTCCCCTCCACCTTCTCCGCCCCCCATTGATTCACGCCTAAGCATCATGATCCCCTTGGAAGGCGGAGAACGCAGCACTTTGGTGCAACAAATAAGCGCACGTTGGTCTCGATGTGCCGGGGAGGGCCAACAGTTGTTCGCAAGGAACGACACGAATTAAAAATAAGGGCCCGACGCACTTCAGCCGCTGCAAGCGCGGTTGCTCAGAGTGTCGGGAAAGATTTCAGCCCCGATGATTTGTGATCTTGTGTGTCAGCTGTATGTTTGGTGCTTCTGAGCGCAGGACAAGCCGAAGCTGGGAGAGCCTGCTCCAGTGAAGCAGGCGCCAGTCGTGGTTGCTCCTCCCGAGAAGGTCGACCCTAAGCGAAAGGCAATCATCGACGAGATGTTCGGCCTGCTCGACATCGACAAGGACGGCAAGCTGAACAAAGCCGAGATGCAGAAGTTCGCGGAGCAGACTGGCTTCGATGGCAGCGACGAGGATTGGGCCGAAGGCTATGCCGAGCTATGCCGGGACTTCGCGGCCGACCCCGACGGCATCAGCTGCCCGCTCTTCACACGGCTCGTCAACGAGCAGAACGAGGAGTCCGGCTGCTACTGCAACGACGAGGACAAGACATGGCAGCATACCGAACCGAAGAGGGGGGGAGGGCGGCGCTCGGCTTCTGGAGGCAATTCGAGCATTCGCGCCCGAGCTCCTGCCCCCGGCGGGGACGAGGCGCAGCCATCGCCGGGAACACACGCGGCAGGTTCGTGACGTGTGGACGCGGCAGCGACCTTGCCGCGGGCGGTTCAAGGCCGAACGCCACTGGTGGCCCAGCACCGGCCCAGCGGTGTCAGAAACAAGCGCTCAAGTTCGAGTTTGCCGTGCACACGCGCATTTGCCATTTGCCCGTGTACAACGACCTGGGGATCGACGATATCCACGTGGTTTGAAAAACCAGCGCACAAGTACGAGCTTGTCGTACAAACGTGTACTCCCGTCCCTGCCTTCCTCTTTCCCCCCTCACACCTCTCCAGAACCCTCCTTCGCCCTGGACGCCTTGAAGCCCTGCCCGACTGGCAACCTGCTTGTATGCCGAGTTGCGTTTTGCTCTTAGAGGCCAAATGTTGTCCCGCTTTGGAGGCACGTCTGCGATGCCCACGGCTACTTCTCCTGGTCTGGCCAGGCTGCCCAGGTGATGATGAGGACTGTTCGACCCACGCGGAGGCCACCCTTCATCATCTCTCTTATAAGAGATACGTCCTCCTCCGCTCCCCTCCCCACACTACCACACTGTTCTCCACTCCCCAGCCCGCGGGAGGCGCCCCCCCTTCTGGCCCCGGCCCGCCGCAGGAGCTGAAGACGGTCTTCGAGGCGCTCAAGGCCGCCAAGGCCGGCTGAGGCCGAGCTCGGGTGACGAGCCGTCGCGGCGGCGCCGCTCGCAGTGTCCCTGCCTTTCCTTCGAGGTGGAGGGGCAGAGGTCTGGAGCACCCCGCCTCCGGCAAGTCTTGGAAGGTGTGCGCCGGGCGCCTCCAGAGGGCCCACATGGCTGGCCTCGGCGGGCCCCCCTCGCCCGTCGTCTAATTCTGCTCTTCGTCACACAATTGGCAGCTTGTTCCGCACTGCCCGCCGTCTGTTATGAGGAGGCGGCGGTGTGTATGTTTGCGTCTTTTTGTAGCAGCCCCTTTCGGGGTCGGAGTGGCGCGGAAGGCTTGAGCTATAAATGTGGCGAGCACCACCTGGGAGCGAGAAGGGAGGCTCACGAGAAGGTTGCGGAAGGTGAGGGGCATGACGAAAATAGTACAGCTTTTGTCCACCAGACATTATTCACCAGAGTTGGCCAATATTTGGCGAGCAACAGGAGCACTTACCAACATCACTGACGACTTCTCTTTTGAAGCCTGATAGTGGATCTTCCCATTTGCGATTGTGTTGTGTGGGACATGCTGTATCTGCACATATTTGTCGATCTAGTCGTGCATGTCCTGTAGGCCCACCATATAAGCAGTGCTTTCTGGAGGGATGGGTGAAGCTTTCGATTTGTGATTGGCGTCGGATCGAATTCCCGATCTGTCGATCTGTCGATCGCGGTAAAAATCTAGCGATGTCCTGATCTATTCCCTATCAATATCCATCCATCTGCCGCGCTACCAGCATACCGATCGATCTATCTGTATGTCGAAAGAACAGGCACGGGGCAACCACGGGACACCAATGGAACAGCCACAGGACAAATATTGGGCAGCCAAGAACAGCCACAGTTAACCGCAGAGCAACCACGAAATGACCATGGATCAACTACAGGACAACCACAGGACAACCACAGGAACATCACAGGACAATTGCAGGACAACCGTCGAAACAAGCAGCGAAGCAACCACGAGACAACCACGGGACAACCACGGAAAAAGCCATGGGACAACCACGGTTTGACAACCTAGGATAATTTTGACATTCCGTGTGTTTGGGTTGTTGGGACCGTTGACGAGCATATACCGCATCGTCGGCACTGCAAGATGGAGAATCGGTTTGCCTCCATCTGCCTCACAAGGACTTCTTACTTTTGGGGTGGCCATGGGGATCCGCAGAAGCCATGGGACACCTCAGGACGTTGAATGAGCGGCGACTGGTGGGCCCGAGGTCCGCTCGTATGCGTCAACTCTGGTTGATGCGGAGAACTGGCCTGAGGACACCCCGCTCTGTCACGGCACGGTCTCGGGAATCTTCTTTGCTTAAGCCCAGGCAGTGGTGGGCACGTAGAAAGAGGAGCAGGAGAACGACGAGACGGACGGTGATCAGGACGAGCAGGAGGCGGTTGACGACGACAGTCAAGAGACGGCGATGGAATCTACACATATAAATGTATACATGTACACATATGAGACAGAGAGATCTCAAGAGAGCGAGGCCAACGGAGAGAGAAAGAGAGAGAGAGAGAGCGAGAGAGAGAGAGAGAGAGCCAGAGAGAGAGAGAGCGGGAGACAGACAGACAACGACAGATGTATATGTACGTTTACACCTGTATATACATACATGTGGGTTCTAAGGGGTAGTCTCGGCATGCAGCGGAAGTGGGTCTGGAAACATGAAGAGAGTGATAAAGAAAAGAGGAGGGAGAAGAGAAAACGAGCGAACGATAGAGAGAGAGAGAGAGAGAGTGAACATACATATAGGTGGTACATGTACAAGCATGTATTTTTCAGTGAAATGCAGCTTCCTGTAGTGAAGCAAAACAAGATGAAGAGAACTAGAGAGATCGTGTGCAACAAACAGCCGGGTGAGAGCGAGAAGGGGGGGAGGGAGAGAGAGAGATTGACATGAGACCGAAGAAAAACCCCAATCAGGGCTATAGGGCTAGGGGGCTATAGAGTTGTAGGGCTATAGGGCTAATGATAGGGCACCCCCGGGCACCCCCAGGCACCCCCGGGCACGCCCTGGCACCCGGGCACCCGGGCACCCGCGGGCACCCGCGGGCACCCCTGGGCACCCGGGCACCCGGGCGTGCGAAAATCGGCGGCAAACCTAACCTAACCTTATGAATGATACCGGAGAAAAACCCCAATCAGATTTTTGTTAGGGCTATAGGGCTATTGGGCCATAGGGCTATAGGGCTATCGGGCTATAGGGCTATCGGGCTATAGGGCATATATAGGACTGTGACCTATAAGGCCATAGGGCTATAGGGCTATAGAGCTATATGATCTATGGGGCTATAGGGCTATAGGGACATAAGGCTATTAGGGCTATAGGGATATAAGGCTATAGGGCTACAGGGCTATAGGGCTATACGGCTATAGGGCTATAGGGCTATGGGGCTACTGGGCTATTGGGCTATTGGGCACCCCCGGGCACCCGTGCACCCCCGGGCACCCGGGCACCCCCGGGCACCCGGGCACCCGGGCCCGGCCACCGAAATCGGGTCCGGGCACCCCCGGGCACCCGGGCACCTGGCCCCGGCCACCGAAATCGGCCGCCGACCTCACCTCAGCTTTATATCCGCTAGGACCCCTACAGAAGCAAGCTCTCATTGGGGAATATTGAGCTATAGGGCTATAGAGCTATAGGTCTATAGAGTTGTAGGGCTATTGGGATATTGGGCTATAGGGCTATAGGGCACCCCCGGGCACCCCCAGGCACCCCCGGGCACGCCCGGGCACCCGGGAAGGGGCACCCGGGCACCAGGGCACCCCCAGGCACGCCCGGGCACCCGCGGGCACCCGAGCACCCGGGCACCCCTGGGCACCCCCGGGCACCCCCAAGCACCCGGGCACCCGGGCGTGCCGCGAAAATCGGCGGCGAGCCTAACCTAACCATATGAATCCGCTAGGACCCCTACAGAGGCAAGCTCTGATTAAGGAATATAGAAAGAGAGAGGGAACATACGAGAGAGAGAGAGAGATAATCAAAACACATGGAGGGACGAAAGAGACAGGTATACGAGTGCATTTGAGCGAGATGCTAACAAAGGGAGGGGAAGGGGAGAGAGACAGAGAGAGAGAGAGAGAGTGACCCTGTATACACGCAGATATGTGCATATGCATGTTTATGTACATCTGTATATTAATTTACATACATATACAGACAGTGGGGAGGGAGAGTTGGAGAGAAAGAGAGACAGAGAGAGAGGCAGAGAGGGAGATAATAACACAAACATAACGAAAGAGATAAAAAGAGAGAAAGAGAGAGAGCGAGATATAGAGACAGAGAGACAGAGAGACAGAGAGAGAGAGAGAGCATGAGAAAGAGAGAGAGTGGAAAGGCGATATTCTCGGGGCCCTGCTTGGAACTTTTTAGGCTGTCTGGAGGCTTGGAGCCTCTCGGGGGGGCTGTTAGTGCCCTCTTAGGCTTTCGACGCGGACGCGAAGCATTTGACACGGATTCGACGCGGTTTCGACGCGGACAGCTGTGCGAAGGAACATTTTCAGTCCCCAGAAGTTGTAACGCAATTCCATTTCCCGTTTCTTGTTTATCTTGGATGCCAGCCACTCGAAGGTCTTACGTACCGTGTCCGCCTCCATCTTGCAATTTCGCTTGTCCTGGTCCACGACCCAGGGTCCATTTCGATCAGATCGATCCGCTCCAATGTCGATTCCGGCCTGTCCGACCCCGTTAGATTTCGGTTTTCTGAAGATGCAGTGCGCCCTGATTTGAATGGGCTTTGGGAACGACAGGGCCGTTGTTGTTGACCGTGTTCGTTGTTATGTTTTCTCCCGTGTACGGCACAGAATTTTTACGTTTCCGTCGCTGTTTGGCGTCTGTTACCGCCGTCGCCGCCCCGTCGCCGCCTCGTCGCCGCCCGTCGTCTGGGCTTGGATGCCCGTCTGGCGGCTATGTTGCCGCCGTCGCCGCCCCATCCCCGCCTCTTCGCCGCCCGTCGTCTGGGCCTGGGTGCCCCTCTGGTATCTATGTTGCCGCCGTCGCCGCCCCGCCGCCTCGTCGCCGCCCGTCGTCTGGGCCTGGTTGTCGGTTCGGCGGCTATGTTGCCGCCGTCGCCGCCCCGTCGCCGCTTCGTCGAATCGCCGAGATTCTCCCGTCTGAAAAGGAAGCGGCATCTACCAGGCCTCCCTGGCATGATCGGTCCACCCTGGCGATGTGCAGTTTACATATGATTCTGCCTGATCGTTTATTCTGAATTTGAAATCATGTCCCAGCTAGGCCGGGTTCCCCCTATCATTCTTGTCTAAGTTAAGTACGAACGCGCAGTCGCCAATCAAACACAACTATGTTTAAACATCCCTTGCAGCAGATGGAACGAAGTGCGTACGCGCGCGTCATCGCGCGCGCATGCCGAAATCCTCGAAAACCTTAGGCGACGTAAGAATTTCAAAATCGAGTGCCCCGAAAGGAAAGGTAAACACATATGGTTTGGCAGCATGATGTTTCAAACATGGTCTGCGCGCGCTCTTGCGAATTCTCGAGGGAACCTGTTTTTGTTCCGCGCGCGTGGCGAAATCCGTCAAACACCTTCATCGCCGACACATATCAGCATCTTTTCTCATCATCACCATCATCATCACCATCATCACCATCATCGTCGTCATCCTCATCCTCAACATGTTCATCTTCGTCAGCATCATTATCATCATCTCCATCAGCATCAGCATCACCATCGGCGTAGTTGGCATGGGCGCTCTCATCGGCCTTACCGTCGTCATTGTCATCGTCGTCGCCAGCGTCGCTCCTATTATCATCGTGTTTGCCGTTGACGACGTCGCCATTATGCCGCGCCCGCCTGGGTGACCGACTCGGACTGAAGTGCCCGCGGGTCAGTGCGGCCTGCGGGACGCGCTGGGGAGTGCCCACTGGTCAGCGCCACCGCGGCCGCGTCGGTCGCGCCAGGCTAGCTGGCCGCTCTGCGCGCGAGCCTGCGCGCGCCAGCGCGGCCGCAGCGATGCGCCAGG